AATCTTGTTGCGGTGCTTCGGCGGTACAAAAACCAATGGGCCAAAATCCTTCGGCGGTCGGGCTGGGAAGGCGGCTTTCTTATCAATTTGTGTCAAACGCTAACGTCACAGAGACGGCGCTCGGTTCTCCAGTTATCCTGCACGTCTCGCGACTTACATTGGAAGGACAGCGTTCCGAGTCGGCGAAATATCGATGTCGCTCATGGGTACGAATTGTGGGAATCTAAACTGAATTGTTGCCGGGGGATTGCCGGGCTTGCATAGTGGGAAGCGATCGCCGCTGCCAACCACCAACCGCGAGGCCGGATGGCGGCTCGATAACGCCGCCAAACCTGCAAAATCAGGGCCTGTTGCACCGGAGGTACACAAGATCGTTGTGATTCTCGTGTAGTCCCGCGATCAACATGAATAAACTTTACCCCGGGGATAATCCTCTCAAATCATGGCAACAATGCAAATGGAGAGGCTGAGCGTTGCGCACCTCCCGGCGAACGCGCAATAGCAATAGCGTTTGATTGATAACATGTGGTGTATGGGACAACGGTGTCCCTCCCTCCCTTCAGCCGGCTCACCCGCAACGTTCCGCACTGACTGTCCCCTTGAAATCTTATTTATTCATAGGAGAAGGAGATGCGCGCGCGCACACATGCGGCGATGGGAGCTGCTTCTGAATCGGACTTCTGAATCGGATCTGACATCGCTTCACGACAGACATGGCGGCACCTGCATACATCACAGTGATACAATCCCACTGAGATTGCCTTATCAAGCGTGCGCTGTGGCACAGGCATCGTCGGCGGCTGCTTTGAGAAACCACGCACAGCATTTAGCCTTGAGACGTTACCAGGCCACACATCGCTTACCCGGTGACGGTTGTCTGGCAGGCGCCTCAGGTTGTGGCCTACTTGGTGGCGCATGCTCACTGCGATGCGGGAATACTGCAAAGTCTATTCATTGTTAGAAAGTGTTCGACCAGAAGGTAGACGTGAATAATTGTGGGTTTTTTGTGTCAGATAGGAGCGAAAGACATTGCTGATTTCGTTCCTCACTGTCCGAAGACTAAGATGAACTATGCTTTGAAAATTGTGGTATCATCAGGAAAGGGGGAGGCAAAGGACGAATGTAACATACCTTTGGTACCTAGGTACATGGTGGCGTCCTCGTGGACCTGTCAGTTGTCAGGGTCCTCGGCCGGCGACGGCAAGGCGGACGTCGAGGCAAGGCAGTGCAGTCGATGACACGCACTGAGTTTGCGCCATGTGTGAGTGTATGTGTGTGCGGCTGCATTGAAAAGGAGAGTGTTGTGCGACAAAACTCGGACAGCTTGGATACGAGGGAGATTTTCTCTCATCGGCCCGGCTCTTCTGTGGCCGAGAGATCTGCATCAGTACCTGCCAATCTTCACCTGTAAGAACCAGTCTGATACCCAACGGCGGGGAGCCTCAAACTCTAAAGACACGGCTCAGGACGCGTGTCGCTTCTACCTCGGTTCCTTTGACTCAAGATGCGCCGGTCGCCATCGGTGTCGCGAAAAGATTGGTGGATGCCTGCATCGGAGAGGCGAGTGACCTTGGTAGGTGAGGAGAAGTTCTGCAGTGCAAGAGCGGAAGACATTTTCTTCCAGCTTCGCTTATCTAATCGGGTAACGCGTCGTGTTTAGTCAGCCATCAAGTAAGCCATTGACGTCATACAAGTGACTCTGCCCGGGCGAGATTTGATCGCGTCTGCCCGTTGACCGTGAACTGGACGATTTACAGGGTCCGTGGAACGCAACACAAAGCAAGGTGAGTAGTTCGAGCAACGTCCTCTGATGACATCAACAGCGTTCGCAGAAAAAGAAACAACGATGACCTGGTCGATACGGTACTCCGGAGTATGCACAAGATGTCAAGGTACTACCTGGCGATAAGGGTTTGGCAGCTTCAGCGCTCTGCAGCTGAACGGAGTTAGCCGTCTGGTCGAGCTGGTCGAGCTCGACGTGAAGCAGGGCAACGCGCGTGGCTGCTTTAGGTCTTGTTCTCAAACACACCGTCCACCACGCCGTCATGGTTCCAGTTTACCCCGGGATCAAGCAGTGATCGGGACAAGACCGATCTACTTCCAAAGGCTAGCGCGATCGATGTACTATGAATGGTACTAGCACGTGACTCAGCCCCCCAAGGGTCCGCCGACAATCCAACCGGTTCTGGAATCTCCCAGACTATCTTCGAGACCACGACTGTCAGCCTGGATCGAAGTCACGTTGTGGAGGACATGATAGCGGGGGTTCATCCCATGAAGCCCCGAGCCGTACATGACGCGTATGAATCATGAAGACCTGATTCGCTGGATAAGGACCCTTTGCTCTGATCAGTGAGCTCGTAAGCAGGTTGGCGTTCAGCAACTGCTCTTTCCATGTCATTGTTACAGAAATCAGGGTCCAAGCTGCACGTTTGGAATGCGGGGGAAGTCCACCATCGTCTGATTGGTACGATCATATATCGTCTGCGTAATGGTCAGGCCACGAGCGATCGTACCTTTGAAGACATTCAGCTGAACAACGGCTATATGAAGCTGCTGCTGTCCGTTGAGAAGACGGTATCACAGCTCAAACATACAGTCAACCTCAATCAACAAGTTCAACCAAGTCCAACCTTCTCAAATACCCCTATCAGTCCAACTCCACCACACAATGCCTTCCCCATTCCAGCAGAAGTACTCTTCCCAGAACCACAAGGTCTTTGGAGACAACACCACCCCAGCCATGCCCGAAGCACCCAAGCAGGAGGCCGACCGTCGTTCTTCTGAGTCTTCAGTTGGCTCTTCATATTACGATGGCCGTCGTAGGGTATGTTCATCCTCTCTGGGTTTATACTTAGGATTCTCCTTAATCAACAGTTGCTAACATCTCTCAGTCTTCTGCAGCTCAGCGATTTGGCAACCTAGAGGCCCTCAAGCGTCGTCAAGATGAAGAGAGCATGGCTCGCAGGCAGTCATTCCACGACGCATACGGAAAGCCAGGTTTCCTTGGAACTCTCTGGAACAAGTACGTCATGCCTCTTTTCCCATGAACCATGACACCTTGCTAACAATTTGCAGCTTCACTCGTGGTCCCATTACTCCTTCTCAGAAGTAGCTTGATTAGCATTCTGTTGTTTCTTTGAGTGTATCCATTCAGCATGTTATAGCGATGACTGGAGTTTGATGAAGCATGCATTGCCGCATTTGCGCAAAAACAGCGTAGCGATGGAATTGGTCAGTTTTTAGACGACCACATGACTTGTACTATACCAAGAGGATGTATCATATTATGAACAATTGTTCTCATGAGACTTGTACCAGATGTTGTGATGTTGTCTTAGCAAAAGCTTAGGCTTGTGTCGGGGTGACCCACCATGTCACGATTGGTGTTCGCGTCGGTGACGTCGGAGAGAACACGTAAATTCACATGAACAACACCTTTCGCCAACTACGCGCTACCAGTCTACACTATCCTGACGAAACAAGAGCCTCGAAGAAACACAAGCTGTATACACACGCCTTGACCTAAGAAACAACGTGTATCAGTTCCTACCCCGCCAACGTCACCTCTTCATTACTCTTGCCTGCTTTCAACCGCATCCACCTAGAAGCGCACCACCACAACCCTTACGATGACTACAAGAACTCGCTCTCCGGGCTTCGGCGACACCACGAGCATCAACCTAAATCGCTTGTTGTCCAGATTAGACCGTTTAGTACTGGTCGACCCGTCACCGCAGTTGCGAAAGTCCACCTACGAGCGCGCACGTGTGAGCGCGGTAAGCTTCACACAGTTATACATTCTATTGCATACACTGATGGTATCATAGAACATTGAACATGCCCGCACCCTACTCCTCAGCCTCGAACACTCTGCCTCTACGATACCCTCCAAGTCGAAGAAAGCCGAACTACAGAACGACCTACAACAGAAACGCGAACTCATAAAGCAACTCAACCAACGGATATACGAGCTTAATCAGCTAGATGACACGGAGTCAGAGGGATCGGTAGACTCCGATGAAGAAGACGCGGATCAGTTTCCCTCGTATGCACCGAGAGTAAAGACGGAAGCCGGGCGCGATGTGTCGACATCTACAGAAGGCAACGAAGCATTTCAGAATGCAGCACAAGGCATCGCGTCAGAACTGCGCCGGAGAGGCAAGCCGGAGGCGAACGCAGCAGGGACTCAATCAGCATCCGGCAACTCTTTGTTTCCGTCCAAATCTACCTCAAGCACAGCCAACCCTTCGCTTGCGAAAACAGAAGCGCTCCTCTCCCACGAACGCAACGAACAAGAAGAGCTCACGACGGACTTGCTAGATATGGCAAGACAATTGAAAGAGCAGTCAATACACTTTGGGAACACGCTCGAAGGGGACAAAGGCGTAGTGGATCGCGCACTTGCAGGGCTAGACAAGAACACGTTGAACATGGATGCTGCCAGCAGGAGGATGGGTGCCCTGCGGCGGATGACTGAAGGCAAGGGTTGGTGGGACAGGATCAAGCTGTACGGCATGATCGCTGGGCTATGGGTGGTCGCCTTCCTGATCGTCTTCGTTGGGCCGAAGATTCGTTTCTAGGGCGACTCTCGATCCTGCCCATCCATGTCGCAGCCATCAGCCTTGAACAGTCGTATACGCATTGCAGGGGTTAGAATATGTTGGCGGAATCACAGCGCAAGCTCTGCGGGTCTGTCGGCACCAAAGCAGCGTCGTACGATTATTATACCCATCCAATTGAGTCCATATTCATACCGCTCTACATGCAGTACAACGCATTGTTACCGTGTCAGTGGTTCAATCTTGGATACTCCACGATGGGGCTGCCCGATCTTCACGGCTGAGCCACGTCAAATCTGGACCCTGCGCATCTGCATGTACCCGCTTTAGCGGCTCCGAGCTTCATCTTAATGTGTGCTGTCGCTCGACAACAACATAACACAGCACCACCCACGCTTCTCACGCGAATTTTATTGTTATAATTGGTGTCGCGACAAGATGGCCGCCATGGAAATGCACTCATTGGGCGCGCGCTGTACGTACTCGAAGCCTGACACGCCGTGACGAACAATCACTACCGCTCACAACCTACAATGCGCATTGCCTGACAAACATCTCCAGCCCTAAACCACGCGTCCGCCGATACCGAAGCCGAGTACGACCGTCTCCGCGACCTCGCGCGCCAAGAAGCCGCAAAACGCTCCTCCTGCTTCGACAAAGCCCACCAAGCGTACGAATCCGGCGATGGAGCGCGCGCCCACGAGCTTTCCGAAGAAGGCAAAGCCCACGCCGCGAAGATGGACCAATACAACCATCAAGCGCGCGACTACATCTTCCGTGAAAACAACGCCGAGGGCAGAGTCGCAGGCGATACCATCGATCTCCACGGCTTGTTCGTAGAAGAGGCCGAGGATGTTCTGGAAGAGAGGATTAGGGTTGCAAGACAGAGAGGTGAAGGCCATCTACACGTTATTGTGGGCAAGGGAAACCACAGCAGGAACCATGTCCAGAAGATCAAGCCGCGAGTCGAGCAGGTGTGCCGCGAATTGGGATTGCAGTATCGCACTGAGGAGAATGAGGGTAGGATCTTTGTGAACTTGCAGGGTGGTGATGTGCATGAGATGCCGCCACCGCCTCAGGCTCCGAGCTATGGTGGTTACCCTGGACAACATGGTGGTCAACATGGTGGACAGCATGGCGGACAACATGGTGGGCAGCATGGCGGACAACATGGTGGGCAGCATGGCGGACAACATGGTGGGCAGCATGGCGGACAACATGGCGGCCAGCAACATGGTGGTCAGCAACACGGTGGCCAGCAGCATCATGGACAACAGCAAGGTCAGAACGATGAGATTGAGCAGATGGCCAAGAAGGGCTTGTCTAGGTTGCTCAAGAAGCTTGGGTGCTGTACGGTTATGTAAGGCTGTCATTGATCTACTCTTGTGTAGGTTGTAGGGGTGATATGGAGGGCTGAAGAGACGTTCAGAGCACGTTTGATACCCGCGGATTAGATGATAGGACGAGTTTGGATAGGGACGATTTCGATGTATATAGAAAGTATATATTTGGATATAGCAAAACGATAAGAGTATATGAAGTCCTGCTCAAATGTCGCGTTCCCTTGTTCATTGCTTTTCACTTCTCATCTCACCAGCTGAACCTCTTTCGTATGAGAAAGAGATCCACCATGTAGACACAAAAGCCGTGCGGACTTCTCGAAGGAAACAGAAAGACACAGTAGCATCATCAGGAACAGATGATGGTATGGAGTAACTGACATGAATTGATAGCAATCCATTTCAAAGTAAGAAAGAAACGGCGCAATCGAACGCACCGAGAAATCTCAGAGAAGAACTCAAGCTCATATGGAACTTGAATGCGCAAGCCCCACATGACATCGTCTTTCCTTTAAAAACCAGAAGTGCTCCCGAAGATGATGAGAGCATGCTCACTGTAACCTGTATAATGCTCAATCAAGCCGAGACGTGCATCGTTTACTTTGCACAATAGAGTCGGTTGCAACGACCTGACATCACGCTGCGCCCTGCCGATAAGGCTGGTACGACGGAGGCGTTCCCTTGCTTCCGAAGACGCATGTAACGACGTTTGTGCGAGACTTTGTGTAATGAGTGACGTCTTGTGTGCTGTAGAGACGAATTCAGGATGTGAGATCCATGGTTTTCACAAGGCTGCATATGCATCTCATCTGAACAGAGAAAATGGCGAGGATGTGTAGTGATACAGCGATGTCATCTTGTCCTGTCGGACATCCCGTTCTCTGAATGCAACGGAAGCTTCGATAGATTAGTCTGGTGTAACAAACCTTCGATGAAAGTCGCGAATGACGCTCACGGAGCCGCGGCCCGTTCCTCCACTTTCCACGCGCCTCGGACGCTGAGCACCCTAAACAATCCACACCTAAACAACCAACACACAAAGTACACAACATGATGACACAGACGCAACCGCCAACCATCCCGTCGCCTCCGCCAGACCTCAGCGCCAAACTCCCCAAGCTTATCCCCCGCAAACGCGCCCCCACATCGCGAGAACCGCCGTCTGCCCCTCCCCCACCGACGCCCTCGTTACCCGCGCCCCCGAATCTAGAGAGACATACGTACACGCGACCCTCGAGGCGCATATTGAGCCCAGAAGACCACCAGTTGTTCCTCAAGAGCAAGACATGCACGCTAGTCGAAGCCTTCGTGTTCGGCATCGCCGACTCAGTACGCGACCGCAGCATCTCGAGCATCAAAGATGAAGAAGTCACAGACACAGTCAAGACCGTCGTGCAGATACTAGCAGAAGCGGAGAAAGTGCTAGATAGATGTCCACCAGAAGACACAGGCTCGCGCTTCGGCAACCCAGTCTTCCGCACCTTCCTCGATGAAGTCGAGACCGTGTTACCGCTATGGCACGAGAAGCTCGGGTTGAGCGACAAGGCGCAGGTCGATGAGATAGCGACGTACCTCCACAACTCCTTCGGAAACAAGCGAAGAATAGACTACGGATCCGGCCACGAACTCAACTTCTTCCTCTGGCTACTCTGTCTGAATCGCATCGGCATACTCCCCGACACTACCTTCCCTGCGCTCGCCCTCGTCGTCCTCCCCGCATACCTCCGCCTGATGCGTCGCGTCCAGGAATCATACTACCTCGAGCCAGCGGGTTCGCATGGTGTCTGGGGGCTGGACGACTACCAGTTCCTGCCCTTCCTGTTCGGCGCAGCGCAACTGCTTCATCACCCCTACATCACACCGAAGAGCATACACAACGCGTTGGTACTGGAAGAGGAGAGCAAGGAATTTCTCTACCTGGATCAAATATCTTTCGTCAACTCCGTCAAGAACGTCGAGGGTCTGCGATGGCATTCACCCATGCTCGACGACATATCCTCCGCGAAGTCATGGGCGAAGATCGAATCTGGGATGCGGAAAATGTTCCGCAAGGAGATTCTGGAGAAGCTACCCGTTATGCAACATTTCCTGTTTGGCAGCTTGGTTCCCCCTGTTGAGGGTATGAGCACGGAAGAGGAGGCGGGTGTGGAGAAGGAGGAAGAGGAAGAAGAGGGTGGGGAGGTCAAGGTGTTTGACGACGAGACGGGGAAGAGACATGTACATGCGAGTGCGGGTTGGGGAGACTGCTGTGGCATCCGCGTGCCGGCTGCGGTTGGCGCGGAGGGGGAGGCGAGGAAAGGCGGTGCTAGGGGGTTGAGGAGGGTACCATTTGATTGAGTCTTAAAAAGACCCTGAAGAATGCAGATGGGTGTTTTTTAAAAGAAAAAGAAAAAAAGACTCCATTAAGAAACTATAAATCCGAGAAGAAGAAATGGGTGTAAGACTCCATTGCTGGTGTCGGGTATACCTAGGTAGTCTAACAATCAACAAATCCATACCTACAACCCAAACCAAAGCTACCATCCAAACCTCCCCCAACAATTCCACCCGCACCATCCACCATCTCTACCCATCCTCACGCCCATCATTCCACCCGACCAACCGTCGCAGCCCTCCTCCTCCTCGTCCCCGCCTCCAAATTCAACAACGCAAACCTCTCCAACAGCACCGCCCTCTGCACCACCGTCTCCTCATCTTCCCCCTCCTCCTCCTCATCCCCATCCCCCACCCTATCCCCAACCGGACTCTCCACCCTCCGTCCCACATACCCATTCTCATCCAACACCTCACCCAACGCACTCCTCGTACTGCTCTCAAACGCAATGCCAAACCCGCCGCCAGTCCGCGACATGGCCGTTGCGGTGCACAGCCAATTCTGTGTGGCGGCTGCTACGCGGCTTACGGTTGTGGTACCCGGTGGGGAGCGGCGGGTGGTGAGGAGGGAGAGGGCGGCGAGCGGTTTTTTGAGCTTGGTCGTTAGGGAGCGGGTTAGTTGGAGGGGGGTGCGGTGCCGCGGTTTGGGTCCGGGTGGTGCTGGTGGGGTTGTGATGTCGGGGGGGATGGGCGTGCTGGTTTGGGGGCTGGCGAGTGTGGTTGTTAGGGGGGCGGGGAGGGTGAGGGTTATTGTTGGGGCTGCTGGTGGTGATGGTGGTTGTTTGTCGGGTGGAAAGGCGGATTGGGCTGTTGAGGTGGATGAGGTGGAGGCTGAGGTGGAGGGCTTGGGTGTGTCAACGGTGGGTTCTGGTACGGAGTTTCTTAGGGGTGTGGAGGTCGTGGTTGGGTCGTTGAATGCGAGACTTGTGAGTCTGCGTCTGATGTTTAGGGTGTTGCTGGGGAGTAATGTTGTTAGAGTCAAGCTGGAAGAGAAAAGCAGTAGTAGGGAAAGGGGAGGATGTATAGGGGGACTTACAGTGGAGTCTTCGTCTCAGAGTCACGATGAGGGGTGTCTACCGGCTGTAGAAGTGGTGACGGTGTTGAGTTTGTGCGAGAGGGTATCGGAGTAGACAGCTCTAATCGGCGAGGTTGTTGCGGAAATGGTGACGGCGAAGGCGTAGTAATTGCTGAGTTGGTGACACGCAACCGGTTCTGTGCTTCGCCATCTTGACGAACTGGCACCCGCTGAGCCTGTGGAGACGGATATTGACGAGCTCTCAGCGAAGCTGGGTCTTCTACAAGACGATGCTGCTGCTGACTTGAAGAAGACGAAGCCCGTGATGATGGAGGTTGGGAAATTCTCAGCGAGCCAGAGCCTTCTACCCGGCGGTGCTGCTGCTGAGCCACCGGCGACGGAATCGAAGAAGGCGGCGGTGAACGATCTGGCACTGGCTGAACTCGTGGCGATGGACTGTGAGCTACTCTCAGCGAGCCAGAAACTTCTGATACTGGACGAGGCTGTGGTGAAGGAGTAAGGGGAACACCCAGCGGGATATACGTCCCGAACCGACGAGACTGTTGCTGAGCCGCCGGCAACGGCGAAGAAGGAGGCGAACGTCTTGACCTTGACCTGTCGATACGCAACGGCCTGGGTACGTCGACATCCTTCGCATCTGGTACTGACTGTAGAAGAGGCATGGCTAGAACGAGGAGATGGGTATCAAGTCGCTGAACGCATGCCAATGAAGAAGAGAAGGTGTTGAGAGTCGTTGACAAAGAAATCGTCTGGGTATCTGGCAAAAGAGGAGAATCTTGGGGAATTGAGGTACTAGGTCCACCGGCCCTCTTGTACTGAGTCTGCTTACATACTCCAGGGTGTTCTCGTGCTGTAATGGCGAGCAAGTCATGATGCAGGTATATGCTCTATCGCATCGTCTTTGAGCTCCGGAGGTTAGCAGCTCTCCGCTTGCAGTGTTGATGTATTTGGTACTGTTGAGACTCAGGGTCGACCATGCTGTGCATTTGCATGTGAAAGCAGTCTTTTGAGTCATCTTGATGCGTCCGACAGCGGCGGTCCGTGATCACAAAAGTTCATGTAGCCTTGGAATTCAGGGACGACGCATGCCTCGTCTTCACAAGAAACAGCGATCGACAGTGTAAGCGCAGGCCACCACAACGGACTGGCTGAAATATCAAAAAATGTTTTCAAAAGACAAGAAAGTGGCTGAACACCTACTGATATACCATCTTCTGCCCTCGTAAGTCCTTATCCAAAGAGACCCTTTCTCCTCATCCAGTCCTCCCTACCCAGGTTCGCGTTAAGGGTCAACCAATGCCGCACCCAACATCCCGATAGCGATATTACAACGACACCCTTATCATTGCATCACCTTTACTTCTCCATCTTTCTACTCGTAATAATACTGATATCGTTCCCTTCCGACCCAAACAGTGCTTCTGTCATGCCGTTTCCTTCGGACAAACAAGTGAACACGACAGAACAAACGTAGTAAACCGAACCAAAATTCCATTCTAACATCCAGGGTGACGATATAGTCTACCCTCTGCAACGCCTAAATGAACGCCCATTTATGCATGCTATACTAATATGGCCAAACCAAAGTACGACAGGCAATGCCGAAGATTCTAAA